TTTTACTTGGCCCTCGCCATTTACTTGATCCACTAGCCCTAATTTATTGGTTGAAGCCAGGGCCTTGAGGGTGATTAGGGTTTCTGGCTTGCTCCCATTTATGCCTTGCCATTCGCGCTTTTGAAAAAAAACAATTTACAGTTCATCTGTTGGGAGAAAAGGAAATCGGGCACCGGTTAGAATTTTATTTCAAAACATTGGATGGTAACACCACTCCCATCTTTAGTGATTTCAAGCAGTTAGATTTCAGGAAACTATTATTTGCAATTGCAAAATAAATTGCGAATAATCGTTGTAAATATTCCCCCCCCCCAAATATCGTCCCTTATGCTATGATTGCTATAATTTATATTACAATTACTTAGTCTGTTATTGATTAATTCTGTCATATTAGTCGGTGATCGCATGCAACGTGGAGCACACTCTGTCACATAACTGAGAGCGACAAAACAAAAGCGGCGACAATGGCTGTACACACTTCTTCTAATTGAGTTTCATAAGGATTAATCGATTTCTAATTAGATAACGCAAATGAAAAGAAGGGAACAAAATTCCGTCCAGAGTTCATTTCTCAACTTGTTTAGCATGTAGCGGATTGCTACCTTAGTAAAGCTTGACTGATTCAGAAATCTCTATGACAGATTCTCCTACATCTAGCTAGACTCCCAGAACCAGCTAAACTATAGCCCAGCTATAAAGGAAACAGACGTGTAGCACGGAGCACGTTTATTCAGGACGTATGTTGCGGATCAAGTCTGTACATGCAGGGAGCTACTCATGATCAGGATGGGGGATTAGGTTAAACAGAGGTTGATGATTGGTCACTGTTTGTACGGTCGCTGCACACAGAGTTGAACGGCCGCACCTCACAATCCTGGCGAGCTGACCTGCAGGCATACGATGACGCACACAGCAATAACGTGTCCCGCAAGCATTTGACTGATTAAAGACGCGAGGAACTGGCCTTAGATTTCGTTTTCCATCATTATGGTCAACTTCTTTTTTTACAATTTTTCTACAGAAACTTAGAAAATCACATGTCTCTTCCTGTACAACTCCAAAGTCATTCTTCAAGCAGTACTATGAACAGCCTTTAATCTATTCCCATCTACCTTACAATGGACAGCTGTAGATAAACAGTGCAAAACTACTTTTCAATAATTTTGCTTTTGTTATAATCGATGGCAATTTTGATCTTTTTACATTGGTCTAAGATCGGCCGTCATGACAACAAATGAAAAGGCGTCCCTCTAATTTGCCTTGTCAAGAGCAAGATGACTAAAAGAAGGAATTAGTTAGAAGAACTTCGGCTTGAAATAGTTGTACACCCGATAAATTTGAATATCTGAATAAATAAGGTTTTCCGGATTCCTTAACTCTCGCATCTACTACCCTATGGAAAGATTGTAAAGCTGTTTGTCTTTTCAACGGAAACAAATTACTAAACCAAATAATAGAATATGCTCTCACATGGAAATCGCTTTCGCATACCTTATGCGAAAAACAACATAGTTTAGCACTTTTGTCTGAAAAATATTGTGAAGGAAGGTTGATCTTTACTAGAAACTTCAAAGAATATGAAATTTAAAACTTCAAGAATGAATGACAGTTACGAAGAGCTTTTTCAATTTCCCTACTTAACCACTCATTAGTTTAACCATTCAGTCACTCAACACAAAGAATTTTTGAACAAAAGTACCTACAAGAAGAGAGAATGAATTTAAGTACCGAGATTAGGCGGAGCGTGTGGAGTGTGCAACGCTAAAATGGCTGAACAGAGAAATCCCGCACACACCCACAGACAAACTCGAAGGTGCGGCCGTGGTGCTTTTCAGTTAAGGAGCAAGTGCGTTCTTAATTGCAAAGATCAGCCGGCGAACTGTTAATCAATAGACGGAGCATTGTTTAACAAACGCCATAATTTTAGTTTATTGACTAAGCTCTAGGTCACTGACACAACCACGATCAAAGCAATTCTATTTCATTGCTATTGTTGAGAGATCTTGCTTATTTGTGTAGTAATCCTCTACAAGCCTAAAAAGTTTGATATTGATTTCTAAAATCTTATAATGCCCCCTAAAAAAATTAAAAGAATATGCACAGGCGAAAATAGACTATTTGTGTACTATAAAATTAAAATATATAGATTTGGTGCCTCCCAGAATGAAGCACATACAAGTGCAGCTTTTGCGAAAGTGTACTAAATGAGCCTACTTTTCTAGTTAGGTAATTGGGGTGCGCTATAGACTTACCTCCACCTGGTGCACCCTGAAAACGTATACTCATACGGCAAAAAATCTATTAAATGGCAGTTGACTTCTGACTTCAAACTACTATCACCCCACTGTATATCATATTCCACCACTTTCACAGTACTCATTTTACCTTATCTCTGCCTTAGTGCCTGTCTGTCTCTTTCACATCTGTGAATCATTGTTCTGCCCCTCCCTCTCTCGACTCTTTGTCCCTTTGATGTTCCTCCTCCTCTATGTGAAGCCCGAAGTCAGCTAAAGGGCTAATAATAACTACCAAAATGCCTGGCATTTGAAATAAATAAATAGTTAGGTAATTTGACGGCATATGGAATAAGTTGAGAACACTCGAATACGCCCATAAGGCATCATCTCCCGTGACTTGAGCTATTAATTACTGTTTTTTTATTACCTGAGCGTGTATAACCACCTGTGGAGAAATCACTGCTGCAATTATTAGCTAACCGGAAAACCTACCATTTATCATATAATCAATTATACTAACCTACTCATTTCTTAATAATTTTATATGAGTTTAAAGCCCCGTATATTTTTTCCTTTGAAGTCAGACTAGTGCGTAGTCTTATAGAAGCAACACAAATAACAAGGGCCCTCTCTCCAACCCCCCCCCCCTCAATCTAGAACTGCGTGCCATCACAGACTAATCAGCTAAAAATAGGCAATGAAATCTAATCGGCAAGAGGTATTGACAGATGCATTGTGTGAATAGAAGATAGCCTAAGTATATGGAATCTTCACAAATATCCGAGTTTACCTATGGGAAGTTAAATAATGTAACTAGAAAGGATTAAAGTTTAACGGTAGTTCGGTCTAGAGAGCTTTAAATACATATCGGCGAGAAATCTAACATAATATCTCAATTTATACTAAATCCTACATTTCATGACCAATTAAGAACGGGTTTTCCAACCCTCATCTTAGCTAGAGAGTGGAATCATGAGACCACGTAGATGAGAGGGTCGAATTTTGCATCCATCTACATTAGTTAGGCCCAACAAGTGCGGTTGGACATTTCGGTCAATAGGTATGCGCGGATGGGAGATACACATGAGACCTCTGACATTACAGATGCCCATGGTGGCCAATGCGACACTGGCACACAACCTTTCATCTATAGATACTTCATTTGAGGGTCGAATTATACAAATGCATAGGTCTTTTAGCATTCTACTTCAAACTGTAATTGGAAGCGACAATAATATTTTATTAAAGCGAATCTATTTAGTACTTTCCAATGAAGTTATGAGTGATTTTTGAATCTTTTTAAAACTTACCTAGTGAAAAACCATCTAAGGAATTTTCCAGCTCCATCATGGCACCCAATAACTGCTAATTGAAGTGTACTTTAGTACTAAACATTAGCAAAGATAACGTTGATTGTCATGACTAAGTTGATGGTCAAGTGACTTCGAGGTCGATGTGCACATACTGATGTGTGCAAAGCAACTGGCAACGAACGCTGAACCCTAATCTATCCCAAGAAGGGAGTAAAAACACTTTCTGATTTTTCACGTTTATAAATCACCTACCAATATGGTCTTTATGAATTTCTAACCAGAATTCAACGACAACGAGTTCTCCACGTTCATAGGAAGAATTAACCTCCAAGAGCACATAGCTACCTTACCGATTCTATTCCCAAGGGTGCTAAAATATTCTGCATATCACTATCCCCTCGATAGTATACAACGGCTAGTCTCGTATCCATGTTCGAATGATTTTATAGAAAAGCGCACAACTCAAATAAAAGTGGCTTTAAAAAGAAAGTTATGACTGCAAGACAAGAAGATGTTTTCCAATAGCCTTGAACAATTAGCATATAACGTTAAATAAACACACCATAAGAGATTATGCATGTAATAGTCATTTCAAGAAAAGTATGTAATATTATAGTGACAGTAGAAGTGGTAACCTAAACAAATAATAATAATGCAAATAAATATGCTCGGAGCGCTTAAAAGTATGCAAATGTGAGTAAAATATTGAAGCCCTACTCTCTTCAGAAACCAATCCTAGTAGGCGTTTATAATTCGTGTAAAAGTATCTAGTATTCGGAGAGAGTTCGGGCGTATTTCGAGTATGATCAAAAGCGAACATCATTCTTGAGAAAATCTTATCTTAAAGATGTAGTACTAAAATCATCATAAAAATCCAGAGGCTTCATTTATAGAATACGGACCTCCACTAAAATGTCGAGACATAAATCACCATAGCGACACCCACTCAACAATAGTTACCGGTAGTTCACAATGTGCTGAAAATAGGTTATTATTTGACTATAAACAAGCGAACAAACAGGCAGAAATAGAACAATTTGGAATTACTTAAAGTGGATCAATTGAATGTAAAGCAGAAGACAAAGGTTTATGCAATACAGTTGCAAGGAATTGTAGTATACGGAGAAGTGAAACACAAATAAACGCAGGGAAGAATTTCTCTTAAAAGAAACCAAAATTGTACTAGCCGTCTGTTGGGCAGTATATTAATGGGCAAGACTGATTATCTAGATTATTCAAAACACATGACCACCTACTACAATAACCCACAACCTGAACGCTAAGACAACGAAAACCCAGAGAAACTACATGTAAGCCTCGAAGTGCAAATAGTGAGCAGCGTGTATAACAAAGGTAAAGGATATTACAGGTTGAATGATTTAGCGGAAATGTATAGGTGATAGATAGAGGAAAATCGTTAAAGCGCAAAATGAAAAGTACTGATTTCAAATTAGCGGCCGACAGCGTATTTGGCGGTGAACTCCGCAGCCTTCTTGTTGAACGTGGCTTGGTCTCGCGCGTACTCCTCGGCTAAGTCGGGCCTCAACGGATGCTCAATTTCGGGATTTGCGATAAGATGGTTCAATTCCTTGATGACTAATTACCAAATAACATCGTTAAAGAGAGGAATAACAAAAAGTGATTCAAATTATATAAAACCGAATACCTTCAACGATTTTTGTGGCCGGCTTCCATTTTGAAGGATCAATCAAGGGCAAACAAATCTGACCCTTTTCATCAACGTTGGGGTGATAAATTGGAGTTTTGAATGTTAGTTTTGGTGGTTTTATAGGATAGTCAGGCTCGAAAATTATCTGAATCTGGAAAGCTCCTTTATCGAATGGATGTTTATCCTATAAATATACACAACATATAACGCCAATAAACAGAATAATTAAGAATGAAGAAGTCACGAACGGGAAGAAGAAGGCCGGTCCAGCAATTAAGATTATCACCAGGTTCGTCTAATTTGAAGAATTCTTTAATATCCTTTTCATTCACTGCTGTGAGCTCCTACGCCAAGGTAAAAACGGAATAAGAGACAGATTTAGTAAGAAATTAAAAGGAAATATAGACTATGACAATTTGAGGAATTACTTTTTGAAGACGTCTAGATGCAGCACACATTTCCACAGCCTAAACAAAGACAGGGAATGATATTGAAGATTAGAAAATCAAGATGAGCACGATCAAATGAAAAAGCATATTTTTTAATAACCGATTTTAAGAAAATTTAAACTAATCGTTATACAATTTAATAAACAAGCGATCACTACCCAAAAAGGAAAAATACGACTCTACAAATACCCCGCTAGGCAGATATCATAAAATTCTGAAGCGACGGAATTGACCGTCTGCGAAGAATTGATTTAGTGAATTGTGGATTTAATTGATACAGCTATCGCTTAATCTAATTAAATGAGAAAAATGTGGTCCCAAAATTTTTAAATTAAATATATTTTTTAAGTGAGCCAGATTTTAATTTTTATTATATACCTATGTGACTTTCATAATTTAAAGCTTATAATAAGTGATTATTCTACACTATGCCATGGCAATATTTCGGGGGAAACTGCAAAACATTAATTGAAATCTGAATAAAGAGTTCTGAAACCTAATGCCTATGATATCATTATATCGAACCAGAACGTAAACTATATTAGATTTGAACATTTGTGAAACAATAATTTATTAATAATCTTTCTTATTTAATTATCAATTCATGGGCTAAATCAAATAACCCCACTTCTTTTTCTATTTTGAGGAGGAAATATCATCATGTTGGAAAATAAAATAAAAGGATTATTGCGTGGGGGGTGGTCGATAAGGTGGATAAAAATGGGTTTTAAGGCAATGGGTAAAACGTTTGGCTCTTTTTATGCCTGAAATATATGCTTTTTCTAACAGTCGAATCGATTACACAGGATAGAAATTTCATAACAAGGCAATAATTTCAAGTGGATAAGAATCTGCAATGGACTATTTTTGATGATTCCAAATTTCCTTATCTCTGGAATACTATATGTCCGCACTTTCATTGTTTATTGTGCTGTCTCAGACCATCAACCCTTGGAATATGAACCTCCTTTTAATTCAGGATATCCGAATTATTGATTTACGCCTCATACATTAGTTTAAATAGATTTCTGGAAAGACGAGTATGCTTATGGTAGTTCGGCTAACCACCCAATTTCGCAACCGAATTAAAGTAAAATGGAATCATGCGTCGTTAGATGAGTGTTCTTCAAGATAAGTGAGGCTTCTCGCCATCCAAACAAATCAATGTTATAAATATGCTCATAGTTAAATAATTTTGTTATATATTTAGTAGCTAATCGGATAAACGGTACTGATTTTTTCGATCAAAAAATATATAGTTGTTAAATCGTAATTATGTAATATCAGAACAAATAACCCGCTTTTCATCAATGGTCACTCGCTCTTGTGTTCCTTAACTATTTAGCCCTTCGTCATGCCCAGAACATATGAGCAGGAATTAGAGTTTCTAGAAAAGATTTCTCCATGTTGTTGGAAGATCAAAAAAGGTTTTGTTCCAGATATGAAGGTTTGTGCTTATATATTGTTATTCGCTTTCAAGTTATTGTATCAAATTCTTGTTGTGAAATATGATTTCATACTTATTATTTTCAGCTGATAAGAGTGTTTTGAAATATGGTAGTTAAATCATTGGACCTATGCATTTATTAAATATATTTACTTTCTAAAATTTATTAATTACTTTTACATGCTTAATAAATGGGTTTAGGTCGAAGGCGTATTTTATGTAAACGACTTCTTGGGCAAGTTAATGTTCGATGAGTTGCGTCAATTTTCAACAAGTGGTGATTATGGTGGCTTTCTTCCCGGTATGAAACAAATAGCAAACGTAGCTGCTTTACCGGGCATTGTCCATGTATGTTGTCTTTCACCTTTTTCCGTTTTAATCATGTTTCAATATTTTACTCATTACATTTTTAAAGAGATCAGTTGGTCTTCCGGATGTTCATTCTGGATATGGTTTCGCAATTGGCAACATGGCAGCTTTTGATATGGCCGATCCAATGGCAGTTGTTTCTCCCGGAGGTGTTGGTTTTGATATTAATTGTGGTGTTCGATTGCTTCGTACCAATCTCACGCTGAAAGATGTTCTACCTGTGAAAGAACAACTTACACAAGCCCTTTTTGATCACATCCCTGTCGGAGTGGGATCAAAGGGCATAATTCCCATGAATGCCAGAAATCTTGATGAAGCTTTGGAAATGGGTATGGACTGGTCCCTTCGAGAAGGTGAGTTCATGATTTCATATTGATTTCTCAATCATTGTAGTAGCTTTAACCCCTACAGTAAAGTTAGTTTAATAGCCCGGTCGAAGTAAGCCAGGCATCTTTCCACAGAACTTATGAACTTCCTAGAGGCCAGGAGAATACCAAAAAAAAGTACAAGATGATATATTAAAATGAAATTTGAGGGACTGTGTATTTGTAACTCAAGGCGTGTTAAATAGCCGATTTATTCTGTGTTCTTTGCTCGTCGATAAGTGAACAATAAAAATTTATTACAATGAAATTATGGGAGAATTATGAGTCACTATGCTACATGTTCTTGAAACATACAGAATACCAATGCAGTAGATCGATAATTTCTGAATAAAGACTGTCTAATATTAGTTGACGATAGATTTTTTGAAGGTCAAATTAAAACGAACGAGGTCCTTTAATTTGTGTTATCTTCATGTTCTTTGTTTGCTTTAAATCACATGCATCTGGACATAGGTTAAGAATAAACTGAACTTCGTAAAAAATTCTTTGTTCAATGCATTTTCCATATTAAAACGGCAGTTGTTAACCTATTTGCATTTTTCATTATAATCACGACGCCGAATAAATTAGTTTAACATTATATTAATTATTTTATTATTATTGCTAACGGCAAATCAAAGGAATGAATAATCATTTTAACTCGAAACAAGCAGAGTAAGAAATGCAGAGGATTATTATTATTATTTCAAATTGCAGGCTTTATGTTATTTATCATTAGCCCCTTAGTTGACTTCAGCTTTTCCCATGGGGAGGGGGGGGGGGTATATATATAGCAGCCAATTAATAGCAGTTCATTAGCTGTCTTCTGGCTTCCCAGTATCTCTGGGTAGAAATGCAGATGATAAAGGTGGAGAATCAAACGAACATTGTTTAATGTGAATTGTTTCTTAATGTGCATAACCACTTCTATTTGTTGTCACAGTTTGGGATACGACCACTGAGTTCCTATGTGAATTAGTGTCATCTGTCACTCCGGTTCTATTAACCATTACTATTGGTTGATTCAATTATATCTAGGCTACGTATGGGCCGATGATAAGGAACACTGTGAGGAGTATGGACGAATGCTTCAAGCCAATCCAAATAAGGTTTCGTTGCGGGCCAAGAAGCGCGGTCTTCCACAATTGGGCACACTTGGAGCTGGAAATCACTATGCAGAAATTCAAGTTGTTGAGGAGATCTTTGATCGTCATGCTGCTTCAAAGATGGGCATTGATCAACTCAACCAAGTCGTTCTCATGATTCATTGTGGTAGCCGTGGTTTGGGACATCAGGTAAATCCAAACTACATTTCCCACCTTCTGGTTACCTTTTGGCTTGACAATTAACTTTAAAACAGGTGATGAAAGTTTTTTTCGGAATGAGGAGTTCACATTCAGTTAGATCTCGACTGTCTGTTTATATCCTCTTTTTACAACGGGGCTCGTACCAATGTCACCTGACTCTCATTATTAAAGAATTTCGTGTGCTTTTGGTCTTTGTTTGCGTTGCATCATATTGTGATATTAAAGAGCTTTTCCCTATATCCATTCTATTCTTAGTTTTTTCGCCAGATCTAGCGTTAATGCTAAGGTGACAGGCATTAATGGTCTCCTAATCCATGATGACTGAAATACTGTGGCCGCTGGCTGCAATTTTGTGAATTTATAATTGTGTGTAGTTGGGGGAAACTACTCGATTCTTTCTCATGAACTATTGGTGTTATTTGTCATCCATTTTAATTAAAAAGTCACCATCAAAGATTCTAATGGGTTCCAAAGTCACCATCATGGGTTTGTGAATGAGCAATTTAAACCATCGACCTTGAAACAGGGTAGTTCTGCGCAGATTCTATTACGGTTGGTGTGCAACTTTTCTTGGGGCTTCTATGGCTCAAGACGATCTTTTTGCGATTGTGAATCAATTGTATTTTGTTTGCTAATTTTCATCTAAACCCGAAAGGAAGCCTACTCTTTAATTTGACTGAGTTTAAAAAAATGGATGGTGGGGTTATTCCATATTTGCAATTTTAGAACGGCTTTTATATACCATTTACGATTTTAATTAATATAAGTGAACTTAGCTTAATACAACTTTGCATTAATCTTTATAATCCAATTTCCACTATCTTACTGTCCAGTGGGCTTGTAAGTTATAATTAACTGCCTACTAATCTTATTTAGAGCAATGAAAGGCTATTTCTTATATTCATTAATTGGCCACAAAAGAAAGAAAAAATGGAGATGGTACTTAAGTCAGTCAAGAGGTCAATAAATTATGCATAAAGGGGAGATGAACATTCGGTGCCTTTGTCATTGGCTACGTGGAACTGCAATTGGGCAATCGTGATCCCTTCATTGTTATGCGGACCTTATTTGTGTTTGATTTTACCTTTATAATGTGCTCAGTTTTTTCTTCATCTTTTCATATTGTCCTATGTTAAATAACCAGATCTCTTATTTCCCCTTCAGGTTGCTACTGATGCCCTTCAGGAAATGGAGCGAGTAATGAAGCGGGACAATATCGTTGTGAATGACAGGCAATTGGCTTGTGCCCGCATTGATTCCCCTGAGGGTCAAGATTATCTGGCTGCCATGGCAGCAGCTGCTAATTACGCCTGGGTCAACCGCTCTTCTATGACCTTCCTCAGTCGCCAGGTTTTAAAAAAATTTGGTTACTTAAACTGACATCAGTAGTCTGTCTTTAAATTGATGCTTTTCTGATTCATTAGGCCTTTGCAAAGATGTTTAACTCCACACCAGATGATTTGGATATGCATGTGATTTACGATGTGTCCCATAATATTGCCAAAGTGGAAGAGCATTGGGTCAATGGTAAGCCGACACAGCTTCTGGTTCATCGCAAGGGTTCAACTAGAGCTTTCCCCCCACATCATCCACTTATTCCCGTTGATTATCAGGTAAAATTAATTTCTTCTTAATTTCTGCTTTCATAATTGTTAGGGCATAACATTTTTTCCTGCATTTAGCTTACTGGCCAACCCGTTCTTATCGGTGGTACTATGGGAACCTGTAGTTATGTGCTGACAGGCACTGATAAAGCCATGACAGAAACATTCGGATCAACATGTCATGGAGCTGTAAGTTTCTATTTATTATAAGTTAATAAGTGTCATATTAATGGCAGATAATTTTAAAAAGATCGGTGGTTTTCCGCTAAAACGGAAGGGAGATAGAACCGGATTACTAGAGGATTAGTAATTTATGTTCAACTTGAACTAAAGGTACTTTGGCTAGCCCTACCCAAGATTTTCCCAGTAAAGTTATGTTGATAAAGATAGTACCAACTAACTAATATTTGAACGAAATGATGCAGACCTTGAATTTAGAGGGTTTTGTACCGTAGCTCTGAGGAGTTGATCCGTTGTAAATTAGCTTACCTAGCTAGTTGTATGAACGGGATGAAATGTTTGAACGTTAGGACGCTGAATTACTTATTTTTTTTATGCAAAGATTCCATACTAATGTATGGTTATACGATTTCGACACCGTAGCAACAATACATCCATTATGAATGACTTATCGTTTGAGCAACGAGTTGTCTTCTGGGTTTGTACGACTGTGACTAAGCCGTAATCTCACAGAGGACACATTATACAATGAAGTGCGCCTAAATTGTTGAATACCAGGATTTGCCATAAACTCTAATTCCAAGTTAGAGGCAAATGAATATAATGGCTGCTACCGATTTTGAGTCGTAGAATCTTTGACACATGACTAGCAGGAATGCACATTGTCGTAGAGGAATGCAGTACAAATTTCCGCTTACTGTTCTCCCCTAACTTGGAATCGCACATGTGTTCTCCCGAAAATCGATCACTTTGCTTCTAACTGTCTATCCTGCTTGCCAGGCTCATTCACCACCATTGGTGGTCTTTCATATTGGTAATTCCTAAAAAAATATAAGTTATTGACATCTGTGGAATTTGACGAAGGCGTGACATTTTACCTATTTTTTCCTTTTCTTTCTTGTTATCCTCAACATTTCCTGTCGGTTTTATTTCGAGACGTATGGAGAAGCAGATGATTCGCATGGAGTGAAGATAGTCCAGTGAATTTATGTAGCCAATTTTGTTCAGTTTCGATTTTCAATGGATAATTATGGGTATCTCTTTTGTTAGTTCCCAGTATGGGTAGAGTTTTTCATAGTACTGGAATGAAGGGAAGTGCAGTTAGACGTTTATAAGCTATGTGATTGATTTACTGTTGATTTTTACTTTAACATATTCGTTGAAATTTTTCTGTGGCGTTTGTTTTGGCTCTAGGGTCGTGCGATTTCTCGAGCAAAGTCCAGGAGAACACTAGAATACTCGGATGTTCTAGCAAAACTACAAGAGAACGGTATCTCTATTCGTGTTGCCTCGCCGAAGTTGGTCATGGAAGAGGCTCCTGAGTCTTACAAAAATGTCACTGATGTGGTCAACACTTGTAAGCTTCCATTTCTGCTTAAATGATTTGTGAGTAGTAGTTTTGTTAGCTCCTAAATCGCTTTTTACTTGCCAGGCCAAGAGGCTGGAATCAGTTCAAAAGTCCTCAAACTGCGCCCAATAGGTGTTATCAAAGGTTGATACTTATTCTCGTCTGTGCCCTATTTTTACGTATGCATATCTTGTGCGAACATTTCTCCTTGAAATTATGATTTGTTTGAATTAATAAAGTGTTTTTCAATATTTGAATTTGCTGTCTTCTAATGGTTTTAGCTTGCATTTAGCTGGTTTGCTTATTGATTTTGTAATTTTCTATTCTGCTTGAGGGTTCTTTTCAACAGGAGTAGTGTTTCTATTGATCAATAACTGTTCCATAACTAATCAACTAAAAAGTATTTGGATTACTGGGTGGCATTTCTTCATTTTCATTTTTCCATTGACGGTATTATATCATCTGAAAGAAATCCTATTCTTTATTTTCGCTCTTGTAGATCTGCTCTATTCCACATGAGTGAACTCAGTGATAAAGATCAAGAAGTTCTGGGTAACACCGCCGAAGATATAGATAATGCCCTGCGATGTCGAGATGAAGTCATAGGTGATGATCAAGGCGATATGGCCAGTAAAAGTCGTATGACTATTCCTTTTGCACCTCCCACATTAGACGGAGGCGCTCTCCTTCTCAGTCGCTATGGAATTCAAGATTCCGGTCTCTTTCGAATGTACGAATTAATCTCCACTCCGTAAGTGGTTATTTTGGTAGAAAACATGTGTTGTGTCGGTGGTCTAGTGGCCCATGCACATACTAATGAAGTCCGTCAAGCACACTCAATGGATGGAATAGTCGACTACAGGAAATATGCCAATCTAATAAGTAGGGTAACGGAATTCGAGTTCCTCGCCCCGGAGGCTCTGTGTTATTATTAGAGTTTACTTAGAAGGAGTTGAGCTAGATTTAAAGAGAGAAAGTAACTAATCTCATCTACTTTCTCTTTCTGCCTGTAAGAGTGAAAAGTATTGCAAGTTTGCATTGCTCAACTTCCTGCCTTTCGAGAAAAAAAGAAGTGATAAGACCGATCATTCTAAGTAAACGGTCAATCAGCGAACACTGAACATCGTGGACAAAATTTTTTTCACAGCTCCCAAAGGTGAATCATGACATTTGATTTGTGGAAAATGAAGCGGTGAATTATTTCTTTGCCTAAGTACAGCTGATTACATAGTTCAAATGATGTGTAACTCGTTGTGGTACTCCATATTCATTCCTAAGATTTCTCCCGTATTCTCTCCTCCTTATTACTTCGCTGGAATCTTGTCTTTGCTCCACTTCAGTTGTTTCCTTTGAGATTAATAATGTAGTAGTTATTGCTAGATTTTGCCTTATCGGTGTTCATTAATTGATTAATATGCATCTTCAGTAAACGCGATTTGTACCTGCCTCACTTCTACTATGTGAATACTTTCAGCTACTGAATATCGCCTTTTCAACTATTTGAAGGATTATGATGTAAGCAACCGGTTAATATGCACTCTAGACATCGTAGCTAAGCTTATCCTGCAACTCAGAAACGAACCAGAAAATGAATTTTAGAACATGAGCTTTCCATTGGACAAATATTATGAAACCTTATTCCAAAAAATTAATAGGAGACTCACTATACCCTCCATCATCGCTTAGATCTCCATCTCCCCTTTACCATTCATAGGCCTTTATTAAACGATTACCGTGGTTTCCCATCATTGAAAATTGATTCTTTTGTGTCTAACGCTGTTGGTACCAATAGTGGTATTCTCATCAGGTTCCGGCGTGTAATGGAGAAGTAGGTTAAGTACTTTCACGTTCTTATTCCTGATTCAATTCTCTTCAAGGGAATGAGAAGAAAGGACTTTCATGATTATTAGCTTAGGAATTTTAGTGTTACAATTATAAGTAGTGGGCTAAATATTTTTATAAAACCTTGCAGAGTTCTCTCTTCAATCTAATTCGTGTATTCGATATCGGTTTTAAATAAAAAGTACTCATTATTAGTAATAGTGATATTTCCTCCTGAGTGTTGTCTAATTTACTCTGACTTGTCAAAGGGCCAGACAGAATTATCCAACACCATGTAGTTTATTGAAGACGCAAAAAAGTGCACTGAGATGTTATGACCAGCAGCGAACTTTAATCGATTAGACAATTACATCGCCCAATATCACTCATTAATCAAAGGTCAGGTAGGAATCCATTTACTATGTTTTCGTGTACTCGAAAATATCTCAGGCTTCATTTCTTGTGAACCGAATTATTGACTATTCGATTTCTACTCCCGCGTCTGGATATGCATGACTACTATTTAAATTTATGCAATTAAACATGATCAAGTCTATTTTCTTTGCGGAAAAAAGTGTCGTTGCAGTGGAAAGTCTTCTTCCCACGGGTTTGGGCAGTTGTAGCTTTCCAAAGAAATGACTGAGTGTAGTTATAAAAGATCGAAATGTGAGACGTTAGTTCGTGTTTAAATCACATCCTGGTTCCAAATGAAATAGGACTTTTTTGTTCTATTTGCGCCATATTCCAGTCCAGCTTCCTTTTATTAGGATAAATTTGCCTTTCTCTATTTTCAAATGCTTTCCCATGATTAAAACGCTTAGGCTGTTATTTCTCCATTATCAGAATTATAGTTATGCGGCTCTAATCCTTTGATCCGAAAACCAATGCCTGCTATTCGAGTAAATACATTGGAAAGCTAATTACATTGATAAATCAAATCAATACTCATGGATCCTCTACACTACAGAGTGATATGAAGTAATGAGCCGCCAACTTGTTAAAAATCAGCATGAAAACGTTCACACTTAAGTATAGAATGTCACAACTGCTAGTTGGGGACTTATCAATCCCATAGTAGAAATCATTACGTTATCTTTTAGGCCCTCAGACGAAAGTGATTTGGCCAAGTTGAGTCGAACTTTCAAATCCGTTCCCTTATTTGCGAGTTTTATATCCGGTGCCACGGCAGGTTGTTTGGCTGTTCCGGGAATATTCAATCAATTCACACATTCAAATCAACTTACAGTTTGGAGGACAAAAGAAATGGCCAAAGTATGTACATTTTGCTCTATCGTTTGAATTCGCATATATTTTGACTTCTTTTCAAGCAGTCCTTCTGAATCATGTCAGAAAAGAAGAGTTGGGGGTGCACTCCGACTGATTAGAAAACCATTTGATTCCACTGGCAAGGAAATAGATTTTCGTAACTTTTCACCAGGAGAAATCATAGGAGGGAGAGTTACCTAAGAGGAAGTGAGGGTCCGGGAATCAGTAATACTCCACTTCATCTATGCTCCATAATCATCAGTCCAACTGTTTGTTTTCCATCTTAAAGTTCTATCGAACCCGTTCTTTTTATCATCTTACTCTTAATAGGAAAATTCTGGGTGGGGTCGCCTTAACGTGATTTCGCGTCATTCTTTTTCGTTTAATTATGGCTATGTCCTTCTATTCGGAAAACGAGTCGACTATTCGACAGATCATCTTTGGGTTTGTGTGTGTTTTTTCTTCAAAGCGCCATCGCCTTCTTATTTCCTTTGTAAAGAGTTGATGACACCAAGAATCCACACCTCCAGTTTCATTTTTTAGATCACGTCGTTTAGTTGTGGTATTGTTAAACAAAAGTGCGTTGAAGAGAACTCCCTGTATCATTTATCATCCGCAATTCTTTTTTCTGTCTCGCTAATCACTTGGTTAGTATTCGTCTGAAGTTCCTTTAACCAACCACAACTTCCAGTAATTTGCGGATTTTAAGGGATTAACGCCCTGAAACTTTAATATAATGATATTTTCTGATGAGTTCTCTTTAGTGAAGTTCCAGTAATCTTATTTGATGGTTATCACTCTTTGCCTAAGCTAAGGCATTCCGTGTTGCTTTCCTTCTTTATTAGATCATAATGGCACTATTATCGATTATTTTTAACATTCCCTTAATTACACATTTCAGCGTCAATGGTCGACTTCTACCGATGTCTTGTGCTTATGTTTTTATAAACTGGAGCTTTAATACGAGTAATTACTCCTATTACAGAGTATCATAATTTACCAAACAATCCAATTTTAATTTTTATATCTCCATTGTTAAGATCTCCAGTTGGTTATTACACATTTATATTGCAATAACTCTTTTTTACCTTATGACATTGAGTTTCCAATTGAATTATTTATTTACTGAAATTATCTGACTTGGAGCAACTTTAATTTCAGGAATGAAATTAGCCAAAAATTGTTTAAAGGTTTAATTTTGGGTGTCGTAACATAAACTGCCAATTGTAGACTGTAGGTTTGCTGGCGCGCATTTTTTCAAATGAATTTGTTCTTTGTTAGTAAATCTACACGAGAGCATGAACTTTCTCTGCCTTGATATTAGTGATCTATTGTTTTTCGATGTGACTCAATCATCCAACTGCAATATGTTTATCTTTTTTCTGCTCCTCCTATCCCTTATCCATCATCTTCACTAAACTTTTTTTATTTCATCTTAATTGTTTCCATCTTGTTTGTGATGATATTTGTGGAAACGTGGAGAAGGCGAATAGGAGACTTCTTGAATAATCTAGTGAAAACCTTTCCTAAACGCAAGTCTTTTTGTCAAATTTTTCCCTATAAAGTCTTTTTCGCGTCTCTATCTTCCTTCTCTCTTGTTTGTGTCGAAGCTAGAATGGCGAATACGGCTTCCACTTTGTGGTAGTCTGTTTTTTGGATTTATTGCTCCCGTGAAAACTCGCCTATCATTGGTGGAGAGTGGGTGGGAGGTGGGATGGAGATATTTCTACCGCAGAAATAAAAGAGAGTTTACTATCCCCCGACACGCGACATGCAACATTAGCTCATGCACTTTACAGACCTCATGGCACACAATTCTGTCTCTTGCTGGAGGGCTCTTTTTTCTCCCTCTAATTTGCATTTGGCAACATTATGAATGGAAGTGAACAAGGGTTCAAAATACTGAAAGTCCATTGTTTTTGTTTAGACCGCTTTGGTAAGATACCTTTAAATACGATCATTTCGTCTTGAAAGTCGACATCACCAAATCGCTCTACTGGGAGTCTTTAAGAAAGCTAATCTCTTATTAGTAAGGAAATGACAGCGATTACTTACTAACTTTAATATAGCATTTTTCACCCTACGCTGCCTTTCTATAGATTTTATTTATTTATATTAAATGGCCGGATTTATGATAGTGATCATTTGCTCTTTAATTGACTTCGGGATTCACAGAGAGAGAGGGGGAACAGGAGAGTGATTCACAGATGTAAGGGAGGCAGGCTCGAAGGTAGAGGAAGAGGTAAAGCGGGCACTGGGGGAGGGGGGGGGGGAATATGACACACAGTGGGTCATGGTAGTTTAATGTCGGAAGTTAACTGCTGGTTTGTGGACTTTTTTGCCATATAAGTATACACTGCTCATGGTGCACCACTTGGAGGTAAGTCTATCGCGCACCCCCTACCCTCCCCTTTCTGAAAGTAAACTTTGTTAGTCATACAGTACGCACGCTTAGCCGCTACATTCACTGGATGTTCTCCGATGGAGATCGAATCCATGACCTCTGGATTCGCAATTGAGCACGGTGATCGCTATATGTGCAACCATATTTGAAGCTCGACTAACTAGTGCATTTTTTATCTTTCATCCTTGTTTTTGTTACCCTAAAATTGAACCGACGTTTAACGTGAAAAGATGTTCATAGTTTTATTCTCAATGTCTCCTTCAATATTGGCTCATGAGCTTTTCTTCCAAAATGTCCGTTCTCAACGCGATAAGTATTGATATTTTAACCGTATCCCCGCTTTGGGGTCATGCCTTATGGAAACATTTTTGGCATTCTTTTTTATTTTCATCGAAAAGAATGCAAAAAAGTAACGCTTTGCATCATCAGGAGTTCTATTTCTAATGCACTTCATTATAGAAAACACGCATAATTTAAACAGATTGATGGCAATGCGTATATCTGTTTCGAAGATTTTAAGAACCCTGATTTTATATAGGTCTCCTCCATTTTTACTGAAACCTCCACTTTTCTGGAGAGTAGTAACAAAGAATTTATTACTGCCACTCTTGCGAAATCTCAACTGAGATGAAAGATTGAGGTGGTCTGAATAGGTATTTACTGAGATTGCAAAACGCCAGTATGAATGGTTAGCAAAGGGCGCTGTTGAACGGTAGTTATTCGTATGTGGTTTAATGTTAGTCGACCGATAGACAAGTGGATGAGGGGGGACGGGGGTTAATTGGCATACTAATTGATAATCATCTTCTGACGGGTGGCTTTCGGTAAATGAAGGAAGATTGATCTTTTGAGCAAGTTTATCTTAAACTGTGACAATTTAGCGGAGAAATTTCGGGAGATAAAGTGGAAGCGAAAGGTGTTCATTTGCAGTAGCTAGAGCAAATAGTACAATACCGGAGAATCGATGCGCATTTACCTTTTGCCTACATTGGTCATGTTCTAAGCGTAAAAAAAACTCATGAAAACAAATTTTTAGATTATTATGAATAAACACTGGCGATGTTAGTGGTTGCACGTGAAGAATTAACGAAATGCTTCTTCCTGATTTAAAAAGCATAATTCAAGATGCTTTCTATTAAATCTTTCTTTAATAAGTTAAGGTCAAGCTATGAAGCCGACTGTCAGAATACCTTTGACAATGAACTCATACCACAGGTATCAACTTCTGTGCTCAAGCATGTTCGATTGGGCCTCCTCAAAAGAAAAAAGGGAGACTCAGATACTGTCTACCAACGGGTAGGGGATCCAACGAAGCACACACATTATTAGTTAAAATTGGCCTTCTGACAAACCCAAATTTAGTCGGTTAATCAGTCCGCCAAAATTAAACAAATTCTTGCAATCGTCAAATCCATTCATCTACCTTTTGGTATTACAAGGAATGATATTCTATTCACTTCTGTCCATTCAGACAGCATTTGTGTCTACGTCGTGGTAGAGTATGTCACGAGGAGTTATGTTGCCTTGCCAAAAGTAGGCCATTTATTTGCAACGGGCAGTTTTATCTTTCAAACAGTAGAAGAAGAGCGTATGACAGCACAAATTCAATGTATTCTTCGAGATATGAGAAGAGCAAGTTTTCTATCAAAATAAACCTCAATGATAATGGCCGTAAACCTTAAACACGGGGAAATATAAGTGATAAAAAGGTGACCATAAATTTGAATGCCAAAAATTACAATCCAGCACAAAATGGATGTACCTATGAGTCAGTCTAAAGTCATGAACAGTAATTCGTAAGGAGTTAAACAGGAATTTTCGGAATTGCGGAGGCTGACAGTGCCCACCCCCTCTCCTTCTCTCCTCGCCAGTATAATCTCCGCAAAAATTAAGCCAATAGTGTCAATTTCATCCCGGAAGAGGCATGTGTTTGGAAATTTAATCACGGTCTTAGCATCCTGTTTGTCGAATCGGGGTTTTTGTCGAAACTGCAAGAACTTATTGTATGCAAGTGTCAACTTCCAATAATATCGCGTTAACCTTGGAAGTCATTGGACCGTATTTTGACCATGCTGATTTTCTTTCCTCTGTATTGCATAAAAATCGTAATGAAATTAAAAGTGGTTGTAAGATAATGCGCCAAAATATTATTGACTAGAATTCAACTCTAATAACTTGCGTATCTAATGCTAGTTCTTTCAATTGAAGAGAACTATTTGCTAATGTCCAGTTTAGAGAGCAGAGTTGACTCCTAGAGCCTCTCGGTTGATAAACTAGTTTTGTCCCATCCTTTTCTGCATCAAGCTTAGATCTTTTGTTTTGGTCATGACTTCGTTAAATGTGCACTAATCAACGTCGAAATCATGACCTCAGATTTGGCACTGTCTTATCACTAATATATATATATTTCAAATGGCAGGCGTTATGATAGGCACCATTAGCCCTTTAGTTGACTTCGGGCTTCACAGAAAGGAAGAGGAACATCAAAGTGGCAAAATGCCAAGAGGGGGGGGGCAGAATAATGATTCATAGATGTAACAGAGACAGACAGTCAGACACAAAGATAAGAAAAAGGTGAGGTGAGTACTGTTTAATTATTCGAAAAGTTAACTGTCAGTTAATAGACTTT